CCATTATCAAGCGACATTTAAATAGGAGTTCTGAACTATCTGGCCGTATGCAACCTAACCTATATGTTTTAAGCTCACCGCGTGAATTGTATTAATGTATCACACTACTGAAAACAGGTACGTGACATCAGAAGACATTTTTGATATCTTTAAGTATTTCACTGTCACTGTCACTTAAGAAACTCTTTCAGTTGGTGAACGCTTTGAAGGATGCACACGAATCACATAAACTTAAATTGAACACGGTCCACAAGGATAACTCAGCAAAAAAGTATCAAATATTTCATAAATAACTGTTTATATTTAAGAATGCTTTAGCAATATATAGACCAGAAAATTACTGTCATATACCAATTTGCGCCGTGCAGTCTGATAGAAGCTTACGACGTTTCAGATGTACTTCCTGCTTTCATCATCACATCGATAAGTAGTTCGTATTTCTTCTTATTACAACACTCGCTTGAATGTTATGTCACTTTTGCTTAGAGTGTGAATCCACTGTCTGTGTATGTGTTGTGATTGACAGCTACTAATGGTAACCCCAGAGTTGCTCACAATAAGGAAGACACATGAACGTATTTATTGTTACAATTGCTTGAAGACGACTCGAAACCTAAACACAGCCGCTGGCGCCACCGTCCTGTGTTGTCGATATGCTGTGTGTCTCGACCTTGTATATAAGATTGTGGTAACCGTTCAGTGCTGCCCTCAGGTCTTTACACTAACTACTAGTTTAGTAACAGAACACGAGCGTTTCAGGGCAGTAACGCTGTAAAAGCTGTTTACAGGACGAATATTATATTGGAGATTATTGTATTATGAACATAAAAATTAACGGGAATGAACCGTCTTTTATTCAACAGCAATGCATTGTATTGCAGCATTATCTTTGCAACTCGCATTGAAAGTATAAAATTTATAAAACTTATTTTTAAAGAAAATTGAATGCGAACTGATTTTCACGGCGACTGAAGCCAGGTTCGTGCCAAATGTATCGACAGAGATCCGACCGCCATATTGAACACTCCAGACCACAGATTCTCGCCAAAAAGTCGATTCCGTCATACCCCACCATAGCCTCGTTTGAATTTCTTGCTACCAGACTCGCCACCGTCAGAATTCAATTATATTAAGGTCTAGTAAGATGACTGAAGGATTCTGTTGTTAATTAATTAAAGTTAATCAGAATATCAGCGGGAAATACAAGTCAGGAACAAATATATTTCCAGCTTGTGTATTATACGGTGAAAGACCTTACCCATGGGAAAAATTCCCTTTCGCTTTAAAGTCCATTGGATTAATTACAGATAAGAGAAAGTTGGAACAGTGACAAAGACACTATATTTGACTGGTGGAGAGGGGGGCTAATAAATTTACAGCTATAAAGGCTCCCAGGCAGTGTCCGCTCGTCCTACTGATAAAGGTAGGTTGAAGAGAATGTAAGGTGTTTGGAAGTGATGAAAGTAGATATATGAGACGTTAAGTAGGGAATTAAGGGCCTTACTGTATTCGATCGGAATTTTTAATTTTTATATTAACCTTTGGAAGACAATATTTGTGAAATTGTTATATTAAAATTGGGGGAGTCACATTAGAGGGAAATTTTGATGTTAATGTTGGGAAGGCTGTATGAGAGGCATGCAATGCAAAGTTGAATTTGTGTAACAACTCAGTATTTGCTCCGAGAGCGAGGAAAACCGCGGAAAAACTTTGATCGACCTTGTCGGTCGTAGGACCTTCCGGATGCGTACTGACTTATGGCCGGCAGTTCGACTATTAAATACGTGAGACCAAGGGATTTTTTCGTTCATCTGTAAATTTTTCTTAAAAGTTTAATTACATGACGGTAAGATAATTCATCATCATTGAATTTTAGCAAACATTCTTAATATATGTCATTCTCTTCGAGGTGGCTGTATTCTGGAATGTATCAACCTGTAATCTGACAGGATTAAGAGAAAATTTCTGTCTCTATCACCAGGATACGCTTTGAAACGTCGGTTAATATCTACCAAACTTTTCGGTGCAAAAGTCCAGAAGACATCCATATTTATTTTTCTTGCCGTGAGAACTTAAAATTCTCACATAATCTTTACTTTATTCTTGAATTTGATTTTAATTTCTTTCTGTTACTTAGATATTTAAATTTTAGACTGATTTACCAGCGGTCTCTAATTTTCTATAACAATTTTCTTCTGTGTTCCAATGATGACTCATAAGAATATAACATGCCACTTTTTTCTTAATTTACCTTAAATCTCTCTTCAGCTATCGTCTGATAGAACTTTGATTTTTGTGTTACAAGCTGTTGTCATTAGTATTCACCACAAGCTCACGTACCCCATTAAGTTTCAACCCATCCTGATTTCATTTGACCGTCCTAAATATTGAGTCCAATTGCGGAGCAAATTCGCGGATAACAAACATGGCTAAATACACGTTCCATTAATGTATCAAACGTCCTCCTTTGACCGTGGGGAAGCCTCTGGTCTGCAACACAGCCCAGGATTTGTTGACTTAAATGAGATATTTGTTGTTTTACTCATTAGATTAGTCGACAACCACCTCCGTACACATTTTTCCCAATTTATTATTCATTAATCATCATATAATTTGACGCTGTAGAAATATGCTAATGACAGTATCGTTAAATAAACTACAAATAATTAAAATATAATCTATTAATTTATTCTATTAAAGGCCTGTGGTTACCCAGTCTGAAGAGACGATAATGTATATAATCTTTTAACTTTTATTTATCGTTGATGAACTTGGATTAGCGAATAAATGTATAAATATACATGCATATATTTACACAAAGAACTGAAGGCTATACAAACTTCATTGTTAAAGTAATATTCACGCTACATGTTTCTGCCTTAATAGGCCATCTTCAGGCGTGTAACTTAAATGTCAGAATATATTACAGATGGTAAGTAACTTACTAACCTAAGCCTTGGATCCAGTATAGTTGAAGTGAATGTTAGTGGTACATGTTAAGAAGTTACAGTTTTGTATTTAAGTATTTATTTTGCTATTTGTATGGACTGCAAATAGCAAGTTATAAAAGTTTATTTGCTGTTTATAAGTTCATTTGACGTTAAGTTATATACCTGAAAATGGCCTGTTAGAGCAGACACATGTAGCTTACATGGTTCTGTAACAGGAAAGTTTAAAATAATTAAAACAAATAAACCAAGAATTTCGCTAAGTTACGAGAGGATTTTGAAAATCAAAGAAATTATTAGCTAATTTTTTGTAATTTCTGTATTTCTGCAATTTTAGAACGCCATCAATTGTAAGATGTGTCTTTGATTTAGTGATTCGTTTCTAGGAAAATATTTTTAAGATTTATTAATTGTAAAAAGCCCACTTGATTTGGTAAATAGGATTTCAGGAAAAAATGTGTATGTCGTGTAGAATCCTAGTGTGTTATTTTGAATTCTTAGTTTTTCTACACTTCGTCAAGGGAAAAGACAGTGAACAGACTGTGTAAAAAGTAGAAAGACACATATCTTACGATAGGAACTGTTAAAATTAAAATTAAAATTAAAATTAAAACATCTTGGTATTAATAATTTTCCTTATTGTTATATTTTTGTTTACTGTTCCACGATTAGTATAACTGTTATAAAAAATGCCCTTCAGCTTTAGTAATACAACATAATTTTTCGACCATCGATTCTCAGACTCCATTAAATATAAAGCATACCTCGATTCCAGACATTTTAAATTTTGAAACCGGTTGTCTTAAAATCGAGAAAATATAATAATTACAGCCTGGACTGGTTATAAGATAATGTGATATGTGGGCAATACAATATAATTTTTCTACTATCGATTCTCAGACACCATTAAATGTAAAGCATACCTCGATTCCAGACATTTTAAAATTTGAAAACTGTTAAGTCTTAAAATCGAGAAATATAGTAATTAAAGCCTTGACTGGATATAAGACAATATGATATGGGAGCAAAATTTCGCCTCTGTCTGAAATTCTCCAAAAATTATAAAATCCTGAACTATGACTAGCGATCGCTAACCAGTCATGAGTTTGGTACATGTTTGACTCCCAGTTATAAGGTTTACATTGCCTTAATATAAATACAGAAACTAGCGGCTTTGTCTATGCCCCTAACGTGAATGGACTCACTGAAGCTTCTAATGTGTATGAGACAGCTTCGTTTATAAATGTGTCATTCCGTCTGATGTGCTAGTTTGACGTTAAGTTACTGAATAACGCAAATGTTCTGCTTCCACTGTGTCTGTGACGTACAGGCTGTGTAAAAAGTCACAGGACGTCTTATTTCGATTATTTAGGTTAGGTTATTTCACAGGAGTATTTAAAAAAAATAATTCATGTAAGTTATCTTAACTGCTTCATATATTTTTTAGGGAATTGTCAGGAAAGTCCAATTTCATATAGCTACACATCGTTTTGTGTTTTGGCCTTATTTCAGGTGTCAGAACGCCCGAAACGTCGTTTACATCAAGTATACCTCCAATGAAAAAAAATCTACAAAATATATTATTAAGATGATATAGTTGCGTCATATTGTGAAACCATATATTAATTAATTATTCGGTTTTGGTCCGTCTAATCACAATTCAAATTTAAAATTTACAATTAAGATAATTAAAATATCATTTGATGTTCCTCATCGAACAATCGATTTACATTTGGAATGTTTCAAAACCAAAACCGAATAATTAATTAATATATTATTAACATAATATTCAACAATTGTAATAAATCTGTTCATAATTTTGTTAAATGCCGTCTAATGGTACGATGGATGTGTGTTGGATTCAAAATGAACATTGATATATAGTAGCGTAAGATAATTAAGATGGCTGTCTTATGAGTTATTGGGCCATGTAATTTGGTATACATGTACCGAAGTTTCAGAGATAGTTGCTACCTCCATCATCAGGACGATGTTGAAAGCAACAGATCGGCGGTGAATTTGAAGATGGCCACACTGCGCAACAACCCAAAATAAAGGTTCATATAATATTTATTAGTCTAGAAGACACATACCAGGGTACAATAATTAAAATTACTACTAAAATATTATTCTCGTTTTTAAAATGGAAGTTCCCCTAACTCCTCACCTTCGCAATCTCCACTGTCATCATCGAATTCACTTGAACTGTTGTTATTCTCTGTATTGTCATCATATTTCATACTGAAATCTACTAAATATGGGTCTGTGTTGCAGTCAGACAAATAACTCGGAACGCAGAACCTAAATAGAATACTAAATTTGTATCCGAAATGGCATCTTGCTTTGAAATGCATTATCCAAACACCTACTCGTCGGCATACATGGTATTCGACACAACTTGGTCGAGATACGAAATGTCCGGGCTCTTTACAGTGATAATACGGAATATTTGGCTTAAACGGAGTCCATGAAGTCGTAGGAAATGATAGAAATTCTGTAGTTGAAGAAAATACGTCATTCTTATTAGGGATATCTGACGAAATTTCAGCTGAATTTTGAACAAAAATCTCATCAGTGATTGTAAGTGTTTCAGATTCTGAAGTTCCGATATTGTCTGTTTCCAGAAAACTCTTTGATGGTTCTATGGTCTCTAAAACTACACTGAGGGATGGAAAGGTTTGAGTCTGTGCCTCTGAATTTGTAATTGTTTCGGCAATAGACACTGTGCTAGTAGCCGATACCATTTCAACTGGAATTTCTGTGCTACTTGAATTGAGTTCCTGCAGTCTATTGGTTGTCTCAGATGGGTTGTTTTTAGTAACCAACAACGTCTGTTCACTGATAATTTCTTGCTGTGTGAATTCTAATTCATTGATTGGCTCGTTAGATGTTTGTTGAGTTTTTGGCCAGATGGTGGTCGATACGAGTTCAGAAATGATTACGTCTGATTCTTCTTGTTTCGAAGTTCGTGAAGATGTAGTGAGGTTTTCTGTGGAGGTCGTTGACTTTGTTGAATGTAGCAGGAGATAGTTGTCTTGAACTTTAGTTGACTTAGCAGTGACGTATTCCGTCTGTCCTGACACGAAAACAGCCCAATAAATCGCTACCGTCAACAGCGCCACGAAAACACACTGTAAACATCAGAAACACAAGCAGTTCATCAAATCACCTTTAAATGTAGGCCTAGAAAAAGATATGCTAAGTTTGGATTCATCCAAAACAAATCGAAAAAATTTAAATCTCGGTCTGGTCTTAGAGTTGTCATGTTCTTCCTCAGTTATTTGTAAAAAAAATGACGAAACAGTACGTTAAATTAGCCAACTATGCTACTGGTTATAAACATATTATCCCAGCGGGATTGATGAATTGCTTTATCGGACTGAGATTCACGGTCAGCTTATGAAAGAACTTTTTCGTAACATTGCCATATATTGTGTCATGCAAATTGAAGACTTCCGAGTATTTTCAAGGCCAAATTACCAACTTCTTAGGCTTGTGGATTTGAATTGTGTCTCAGTGTTATTAAATCTGTCGTGTAGATTGAATAAAAATTTTCTTGGATATTATCCATCGTCTAGTAAATATAAAACGTAAAACGACGTTTCGGAGATGGGACTCTATCTCCGTCTTCAGGTTCCTACACAGTTGGGCCCACTAGATAGAGCTAATCCCTATCTCCGGACCATGTCGTGTGACCCGGATTAAATATCCATATTATAACATTCGATTTGAATAGGGTGTTATTTGAAAATAGTTTTGTGAAAAGGATATGAGGTTTTCAGTCTAAAGATGACTGTCTTTTGTTATTGTGGCGCCGTGTAGTCTGGTAGTAGTTTAACGACGTTTCAGAAGATAGCAATGATCTATAAAAGTTTGGTACGCGGTGGCACAACCCAGAATATAACAGTATTGGTTCTGTAACTGTAGGTAACACATTAAAATGAATAACTAAGCAATAAAAAATATTAAGTATTGTAGTTTTATTTTAATTTATACAGTGAATTTCGGTAAGTTCCACCGGAGTATAAGAGGTTTTATAATATCGTTACTCTCTTGTACCCACACCTAATGTGTACTGACAAGAAAACATCACGTTCTATGTAATACATTGACTATTAATCTAGACTGTTTGAATATCATATAGAATGCAATGGACATATGTAGGCCTACTCCGAATTAAGTAATTAATTAATTAGTTATTCTACTTTAATTCACAGTAAAATGATTATCTTAACAGTGAACAAAAATCGATTTTTTTTCTTATTTTCCAACAAAGTGCAGTTGTTGTAAATTTACTATATTTACTTTTTATAATCCTATTTTACAAATATTTTTCTAAATGAACTGAGTGAGGTTCGGAAATACATTCTTCATTCTTACTTAAAGTCTTATATTGGTTCTTATTCAAGCGTTATTCAGTCGAAGCTCGGAACCCTGAAGATGGAGGCGATATGTTCCTCCGAAACACTGGTAACCACCTACAAGACTATATGACGTCACAACTCAGAAGAACACAATCGGCATCTTTATTGCTGTGAGAACCTCAAATCTCATAGATGTTAAAAATTCACTTTATCCAAATGAAGTAACAACATTTTCATATTCTGATGTTTGATTTTTATTTTTCGTTTTGCAAATCTTATATCTGTTTAACATGGATGTTATGTTATAAATATTTTTCACATGTGATGACAGTTAATTGAATAATAAATTAGACTATACTTGGATTCATCTTTTTACAAATAATCCTTATAGCGTATGGATTATACAACATTCAGTTCAGATTTACATTCTCACACGTGATACGTTCTAACTCAATGTGACGTCATCTAAGACATGCATATGGATGTGAGGTCCAGTGGTAACTATATTTACCGCCTGATTAAACAATCATTAACTTGGCGTTTTGTATTTCTGTCTTAAATTATTCTCAGTGTGATTACAGACTATTTCCTTAAACAGCGTTAACAAACTGATGTTTGTAATCGCGAAGTGTTGTGTTTTCTTTGAGGTACGGACTGAGTTCTGTTTGAGAGGGATAATTTTTGTTGTGTATTACGTAGAAAATAAACCTAAAATAAATACAAGTAGGTGTATATAGAGGTAAAAAGCTACATGTTCTTACCATTTTGGATGAATCCTCAAGGTGTCTTCAGCAAACAAATTCCTCATGTGTTGACGTGCAGGTCTGGCAACGTAACTGACGAGTGATGTCTGACTCTGCGTGAGTACTGTCATTTCTTACACGGGACGTCGTTAGTAAGCATTTACGTAACAGCAAACATCAATTTCTTTATTTGCTTTCAACCTTCGTTCAGATTTAATTCAAATTATTCTTTTGTTTGTGAGCTGGCACTGACCTAATTTTCTTCTGAAGCTCATACTTGAAGTTCCTCTGCGTAAATTGGTCACTCTTAAACCTATCTTGAGATTAATACAGTGCTCTGTCCTTTATAGGTTATCATAAGGATTAACGGTTTGAAGTAGTTTCTGTGTGTACATTTGTTTTTGTTGAGCCAATTCTGACCTCAGTTGTCCAATAAGAAACTCTTTTTTATTGGGTCTTCATTACAATCTGCCTATATTCTATAATTAGTTGGTTTCTATTGTGTTATTTATTTTATATTTTGCTCATCACATAATTAATTTAGTCTTACCAGCTATGGGCCTAGATTTGTACAAATTTGACTATCTTAACTAAATTAAAAATGCGTATTGCTTGTAGTTGTCAGCCTTAGAATCTTTGATAATTTCTCAAAAAGAATTAACCACAAGAGTAATTCTAATTAAAACATGTTTTTGTCAGAAGAAATAACATTTTTATGATTCGTTTGTAAGGGTTGTAAATATAATTAATAAATTACATTTATTGAATGGAGTTACTTAGTAGCTGAAGACCTGGTTGTTTGCGATGTTAAGATCTTTATATATATATATATATATTTATTTATTTAGCGTCGAATGAGAAGATGCCTACCCACGGAAACCAGACTGCATTCGTTTTAAGAATTTTACGACCATATTCCGTGCAGTCATTGAGAAACTTTGACGACTTGCGAGTGATATTATTACATGTAATGGATCCGAAATCTTTGTTATCGGATATCATTAAACACTCTTCGTTAATATCTTTACAATCTGACACTAACTATAACTGTGAACAACTGTTCAAGTTAATGAAAAATGTCAAATCAACAACTGTGACACTTCTTACTAATGAATACTCGTATTTATGCATTTCGAATCGTAACAACAGAAACTAATTCTGATATTGAAATATCACTCAAGCAAAAACAAGGTCAAACAGATCACTGATATGTCATTTATTAAAGAAAATTATCGAGTATTTTTGGTATCTAAATCTACGTAAGATTTTGAATGAATTTCCAAGTCGTTCCATTAATCTGCACTCACAACAGTCTGGCAGTACGTTCATGTTTAACAAAGGGCAAATACGACGCCAGCTGTGGTAGAGGTTAATACCTCACCCCTTTAAAACAAATGGTAAGATGAGATGATAAAGTTGCGTCATATTGTGATAAATATATATTTGTTTAAATCTTGTCAGTCTAAAATCTGGAAGAAAACATCATTTGAAATTTGAAATCTGATAAACATCTGACTAAAAAGTTGCATTTAAGAAATTATATTTAAGTTTATATAATTTTATACACCTGAAGATGGTTCTTTTAGAACTGAAACATGTCGTGTAAAAAGTGATATTCTAATGTAAATCGAACATTTCGATAGAGAATATCATTTAATATATTTTTAAATATTTAAATGTTAATTATGGTAATATTTTAATATTTAATAGGAATTTTATTGTGATTAGACTGACAAGATTTAAACAAATACAAATGGTAACTTAATATGCAACCTGATTCAACGATACCCGTTACTTGAACACTTCAAAAGTTACAAATCATGAACTGCAAAATTAAAATTAAGAATGAAGAAGAAATTTTAGAAAATTTCTTTTAATAAACAGTGAAAGTATCTGTTGAAGCAATCTCGAGGCGTTAAGTCATAACCCATTCATTGATAGTCGATACATGGTTGACCAGACGTCGTAGTTTATTGGTTAATCATTTGATGCCAATGATCGTCGAAATAATATTTAAAAAATTTAGTGCCTCAAAGAAAATACAACTCTTTATAATTCAAAGATCAGCTGTTTGAGGAAATAATTTTTGTTTCCCACAAATACAATTTGTGGGCGGAATGTAGTGTCATTGAATGTTAAAATAAGTAATTTGACTAGACTGAGTTACCTGCTTGTTTTTCGTGAGGTTCCCGATTCTAAGCTGGCTTTCTTAGCTAAGTTACTTCGTTGTTTTCCTCAGTTCCTCAATAAAACGACCTTTATTCCACCACGACATGTTTCTTTGCCATCCTATTCAAATAATTCTTCACAGTTATTTTAAACTAAATAAATTTTGCATCTGAAAAACGTAGTTCAATTACTCAAAATCAATCAGATTCTCGTAATAATATTTAAATGACTGTAGACTTTTAGTGATGCTGGGACAGAGTATGATGCTGCTTATGACGTCAGCTTTCTACAGTATCTTTTTTATCATTGTTGTTTTGTTTGGAACAATATTTTAAACTTCTACTAGATCATATTAGGTACCTCTTAGCTGAATGGATACCCATTAAAAGAACATAATACATTTCCCAAATCTAAAAGTTTGTGACGATGGTGAGTTGTTTAAATAAAAAAGTTTTTTTGGATGTTATCCATCGTCTAATAAAATAATTTAATTTAACGACGTTTCGGAGATGGGGCTCAATCTCCGTCTTCAGGTATACCTACTCTCCGGAGCTAGGGATTAGCTCTATCGATTGGACCCAACAGAGTAGGTACCTGAAGAAGGAGATAGAGCCCATCTTCGAAACGTCGTTCAATTTTATTATTTTATTAGACGATGGATAAAAACCAAAAAGAATTTAAATATTACATTTCGATGATTTTAATTTGCTTATATTTTGTTGCAAATATTCCTTATTGGTTTAATTATTTTGGTTAAATAAATGTTTCAGTGATGGACTTATGTGAAATTTTTATTTAATAAACAATGCATAATGCCTTGGTTATCTGAGCAAATATTAGATTTTACTCCATAGAATTAAATTTTATACAACAGCATTAAAAAAATTTCTTCCCTACAGTAGAATTTTCATCACCATCTTGTATATAATAATTTCTAGGGACAGGTAACCATGGAGACGGGATGTTGATTATGGGGAGGGGATACAGCATCTGGACCAATGTGAAGGGATCCGGTCTGAGGGTGTTTAGGGGGGGGCATAGTTACGTCTCCAATGAGATACAGCCGATGACAGGGAAATGGGAGGTTCTAAACCAGGGAACATGTGGCCATCTGACTTGCTGAAAAGTTTCTTTTGGGATGCTGTGTGGGTGGATGCAGTAGCCATCGGCCTAGAAGCATCAGTTATCTAATTGTGCACCAGAAGCGAAGTGCTACTCAAGAATCAGAATTGTGAGTGACGTGTGTAACTGTAGAATCGTGTTTTATAAGATGTGTTATAATGAAGAATGAAACTTGGAAGAAAATTCCACGAATTGGGTAAAACGTCGTAAAGTAGGTACTTGAACGCCCAGAAAAGTTCCGAGAACATAAGACTTGAAATTCTTGAATAATTTTGTGGTTTTGGTACTTTATTTCTAACGTGACAACCACCAACTTCTGGTTCTTGGAATAACAGGTATTGTCTCATAATATTTTTGATATATTTTTCATAAAAATATAACTAACTCCATGGAGCTCAGTTAGTCAAAAATTAATCGTCTTTTATAGAATCCGAATGTTCATTACGATTACACAAGAACTCGTCACTGATCCTATCCTGAGCTAGATTTATCCAATCTACACACGCGAGTATTATTTATATGAGATCCATCTTAATATGTATTCCAAATGATTCTTTCTTCCAAACTTTTAAACATTTTCAAATCAAAATTCTGTACATATTTCTTATCTTTCTAATGCGCGCTAACTGACCACTATATCTCATTATCCTTAATTTGTTACTGATCACTATATCTCATTATCCTTAATTTGTTAATCCCATGGATATCATCATTATGCAGTCTTCTCTCACCGTCCTATAATTTCGTTTGTGTTGGATCCATAATTTGTCTAAGCACAATGTTCTCAAACGCCCCCCAGTCTGTATTTTTCCCTCAACGTGAGAGATTATACAACAAAAGAGGTCAAATTATAATTCTTTGTACAGAATTTCTTCATATAATGCGAAAGATATATGAAAGCAAAGCATTATGTAAAAACCGCGTTATATAAACCATTAATTAAATTGGAATTAAGGGGTTAAGGGTAGAGAGCTCGAGTGATGTCACACCCTCGTATGAATTAATTTCTATTAAAAATCAAACTGGAAATGGAATATGAACCACACCAGGTTACTGTGTTAGCTAGAATCGAAATGTTGACAATTCTCTCATAGTTTAGTTGGTAGCGAAAAGATTTAAATATTAGTGTTTTCGTAGATAAATTAGAAATATTTGGAACAATTTTTATACCCGCGTTTATGTTTCACGTCTCTGAATTTTTTATAGACTTTATTTCGATGGCGTTATATCCAACATGAACCCATGTTATTGAAAGAGTTTTCTGTTATAAACCAATACCGTTATAGTCAATTTATGTTTTGAAAATGTGATGTAGGAGAAATTGCTTATTTACGTCTTTAGATAGCAGACGAAAAGCGATAATATTCCGAACTACGTGGTAGTAATTATTCCTCAGACTTAATCTGCTTTTAATATACTTGTTAATGCAACTGTTACTGTCAAAAATATTTTAAAATCTCTCACATTTTTAAATGATTTATTACTTTCTTCTATGAATGATTTTGTTCTGTCATGAAATATTCTATCTCTGACTTAAATTGTTTTTCTTGAAAAGTTGAGAATTACTTACTTGGCCAAGGTATTTATTAAAATCGTACGTTTTTAGAATGTTTTTAATCTGCGATATTGGAAATTTCTGAGCCACCTGAGTCCAATACAATATTTATACACGGTTTTTTTATAACCAACTTTAATATTATCCTCCACGCCTGGGTTTTCATATTTTCTCTTCTCTTGTGATTTTGTACCCAAATCTTGTATTTATGTATCACATCCTTCAGATGTGGTACATCACACACCGCTATAAATTCTATGGCATATATAGATGGGCGGTTGAAAAAACTAAAATCTATTTGTTAGAATAACCAATAACGTTTCACTGCCACAGCTGCAGACCTAACCTAACCTAACCTAACCTACCACTACCACGATTTATAACAATTAATACTTTTCCTTATTGGTGGTAAAGAAGTATTTGTTTACTTTTTACGGTGATGATAAGCCGTGTTACATATTTAGGAAATTTTGATAGCATTAGTTGTTCAAAGTGTTGATAGTATGTGCCCTAATGGATTTATTCAAAGGTAATGATGCAACCATTTATCCTATTGCCAAAACAGTTGATTAGGTCACTTTATTTAACTTCTCATAAAATTCTACGTACGTACATTAGTTAAACCGAATTTTTACAAATGTAAATGGTTTAATTCGTTCTTCAGACTCGTTAAGTTTAATTAATATATTTTTTTTCTAAAAATTTCTCCTCACTTACATAACCCAGAGATTCATTACCGTGTTCACAAAATCCCGGCAGTTATTCCTATCTTTAAGCAGATGAACTTTGTCCTGATCCTTATCACCTATTTCTGTAAGATCTGTTTTAATAATATCCTACCATTTACTCCAAGTCTTACTAACGGTCTGTTTCCTTCAGGTTTTCATACTGAAATTTTGTATACATTTCTTATAAACCCTTTTCTACACGACACATTCATTATATCCTCAATTTTATCACTCTAGTATTTAGTGAAAGAAATTAACGTTTCTGTGAATAAATATTTAAAAACCTGGAAGGTGTGAACTCATAAATGATTTCAAAATTTTATAAATCTTTGTTTGCTGGTTATTCACCTTTTGCAGGATGCGTTGAAACTATTTTAAAAGCCATGTCCTGTGTACATCTAAATTACCTATAATATTTCTCTCGTTTTGTGTAATGTTACCAATAACTTTTAGTATTTTGTGTTACAAACGAGTAGGCTATGTCGAACGAAACAGTGTAATGTTTGTTTCTGCGTTCTAAAATTCATCTGGCAATATCTGAGAATCCCTTTATTTAAATTATGCTAACAGTACATGCGATAGTATAGCTACCCTGGGAGATGATCTTCGTCTTAAAATGGTACACAACTGGACTATAGCAATTCTCAAATCGTGTGAATCTTATTTATGATAAATATTTATTAAGATGTTGATGTTTGTCTTGTGGGTTGTAACTCCGTGTGAAATTTAGGAGTAACACAGTGCTACCATATTGTTATCTAACTATAAGAAAACAAGACTTAACTACGCACAAAACGAAAATCGACATCTTTACCGCAATAAAAACCTCAAATCTTACGATTTTAAATGAAAGGTCGCTTAGATAAATGAAATATTTTCAACTTCTATCCAGCTGCCTGTTTACATAATAATATTTTTGAGGATAGACCATATATGCACACATGTCACTCAGTCGAATTATTAGCCATAAGAATTTCTACGTTGTATTTCCACAGAATTATATTTGGTGACACCAGACAGACGTTAAACAGCCATTCCATTATCTAGGAAGAAGGCTGTCTTCTGAAAGGATTATTGAAACATTGATAGACTTATAACA